CCCCAAAACCCCAAAACCCCAAAACCCCATGATATTACTAATAAGGGATAAGTTATAGTAAGAAATTAATAAGATTATAGCAAAAATTAATTACAATTTAAGTGGTATTTATAAATTTTGTATGCTAAGATAAACATTGCTGTCTAAGTAGTCTCCATAGAATTACCGATGAAAAGATTTATAAGTAGATTTTAAGCGGTTTATTGATATATTTAGTCATTAATTCTTAGCTATTGCAATTATAATGGCGCCTGTTAATCCAAAAATGATAGCGAATATCTCATAAACATTTGGGGATTTCTCTTCAAATATCATTTCAAGAGCTAGTTAAATAAAACTATAGCTTTAAACTACAGCTTATGCTAGTCCTGTCTCTCCATGCTTCAGTGCAAAATTTTAGAAAGTTAAAGCAAAAATCATGCTAATCCCTGATCCCATAATGTAAAATACTAGCCAGGTCTCATAAGATTCAGAATCAGCATTCAAACACTCTGAAATGAAAAATATTAGATAGATTAAGCCTGCAGTCATCTAAAAGTCAGCTGAAAACTGGAAAGTCTTATAGCCATGTTGAAATGCTTATCAATACAAAACTGCACTTAGAGTAAACAAGATACATTGAAGTAAAGCGAACAAAATAGGTATAAGTATCGGAACTATCTCATGATCTGGAGTTTGATGTGTTATATAGGTCAAACTTACATGAGTCTACTTCGAGTTTGCTATAAATACTAGACAAAGCAGTAGTGATAACATTCCGAGCAAATGCCTTAAGAACAGTCTCTCATTGTATATTAAATAGAAAATTACAGCAGTCAAAAATGAAGTCAGTGCTATTATCGAGGACATAACGCTAAAACTAGCACCTGCTTTCCTTGAGTAAAATGCTATGTAGGTTGTGTTGATAGTTGAAAGTACCTGAAATACACCTCTAAGTATTTACAGCAATATATTGATATATTTTATCTTCTTGTATTACACATCATATATTGCTGAATTTCTTTTAATAAATATCTCTCCGTTGTTTCTATAGTTCTTATATCCTGTTATTGCATGATAGCTTAGAGAAAACATGATAAAGCCAAAGCATTAAGGGAATACTACTGAATAGTTATTTCTAGTCTTCATGGCGTGTCCGATCATATGATTGTGAATCGCATAAGCGATTGCACTAAGTGATGCGAAAACAAAATAAAGCTTTGAATTCAATAGATCCTTGAACTTGCCGAAGAAATTCTAATTGTTTAGCAATTTGGTCTGCTCTCATGATTATTATTATTAATCTTAATTTCTTAAAATAAGCTCTAGGTCTATTTCACTTTGAATTTCAAATGCTTTCATTGATAATTTATAAATTTATTTTCCAATTTTATTTTCTTACTAATATTCTATAAATTTTGTCACAAGGGGTTTTGGGGTTTTGGGGTTTTGGGG